TTGATGCGTACATATTAAACGTGTATATTATGTTTCGTATAGGTATAAATACTGACACGCACTAATCTAATTTGATGATCGATAAAAATTATGAACAGATGTGAAGTAGAGCAAATTTTAAAGTCTAACAATCGTTTTCGAATAGTTTGTATTATAGGAAATTAGAWATTATAATTACTCAGTCAGTGGCACCATACCATTTTTCGTTAACCGTTTAATTTCCTAGTTCTAATTTCCAAAGCCTTAAAACCCACACGACTAATTTAAACAGATAAATGATATTAAGGATAGCTATCAATTTATAATGAATAAATAAACAAAATTGTATTCTATTTATATTGGCTAATATATATACCTATACTTACCCTTCTACAAAATTACCCAGCTCAATCCAACAAGTTAGGYAACGGGTTTGGTGCCTCTGTTTAGAGTACACACATTTCGCAAAAGAATTTTCATACTAATTTTGATAAATTACTCAAACTAGGGTAATATTTGAAATAATATAGTTTAAGAACAAAAATTGTATCTCTATATTACGCACTAAAAGTTTGTTGAACTTTTAGATTAATATAATATACAACTTATAAATCAAATTAAATAACATTCGTTTTAAGGTTMATAATCTAAAAATAATAACACACTACTACACTAGGCATATTGATTTTTTATAATTAACGATTCTTTATATTAACCTATGTTAAAAAATACTAAAATTATTAACCTTTGTAATTAGCAGAAACATAAATATAATATTTATTAAAATAAATAATATTGATGTAGCTATACTAGCTATGCCGCGAGTAGAATTTAAACATAATATACTTTACTACTTTAATTAACTTTCATTAATATTTAATACTAACACTTAACATTCATTTAAAAATAGACCAACCGTTTCACGGTGAACTGAATAATTTTAAGCTGTAAAGTTATAATTTATTATTATTATTTCTTTTACTACAACATTAAATTGTAAAATACCGTGGAATGTATGTCTTTAAATTTTGTGTTAAACATTTGTAATCATGAAATTAAAGTGCATAATATTTTAATTTATTTTTATCGTTAGAAATGGATCCAYTCAAGAGTCAAAAGAAACTTTATTAAATGTACAAGACAAAACTGGAGCAAGTGGTTCTCCAGAATATKAGTCATCAAAACATTTGGAAAGTCAGGAAAAAAAAATTTGGACGAGAGGAGAATTCACACACCAAAATTCCGGAATAGGCGGATCGGATGATACTGAAGATTATAGATATAAGTAAGCTGCATTTTTAAAAACAAAATTTTAGTTCAATTATTGATATTACGCAACAAAAAAATAGCCTATACCTTTTTTCACATTTCTGTATTTTAGTATAGTTTTGCATAAACATGTAATTTTTTTWAATTWTTTTATTCCTTATTTTAGGCCTAGAGAAAGAGAAACCAGAAGAAGCCGGAGTAAAGGAGTGACGGCTTTTTTCCCAGACGATGTTGAAGCATTTACTTACCCAGTATTTGAACGCATGCAAATGAATAAAAAGCCTGAAAAAACGTCAAGTAATCAAATACATGCCAACGGGAATCAAGTAAGTTGTATTAAAACWTTCAAAAATKTTGATAGATATTTTATGTATAAACAAATAATAACAATAAAAACATATCGTCTAGTGTTTTAATAAAGATACTATACGGTGACCGTACATTTTGGTATCTAACTATAAATAAATGGGCTGCTTATATTATTACTTATACGTTTATGGTCGGTTYAGACGATAAAATTGGTCAGAATACTGAGACTAATCACTCGTTWCATTCCTCTYTCRTGGGTGCAGGATAATAAGAATAATAGTACCTATTGCTGAGGTATTAAACTTAAAAGCACTGATAAATCAGCGTATTCGAAAAACAGAAAAACAATTTTTCAAAGCTGAGCTAACTTCTGAGATAACTTAAATGCTTTTATTTTATTTTATTTTTTTTTTGAGAGAGAGAGAAAGAGTGAGTGAGAGGGAGATTTTTGAATAGAGAAGAGAAAAATTACCGGCAGATAAAATCATAAATAACATTGAAAAATCATAAAAACATATATCTACCAGCTTTTGTAGCCATCTATAAAGCTGTTTTTTTCAGCACTAATTCTCTGGTATGTCTGAAATTAGATAATTAACATCGTAGCCGGCGGGAAGTTGTTTATAGATATCAATATTGTATATAATATACCTAACCTACTTCTAGGGGTTAAAGTGGTATAACGCAGAAGAACTCARTCTMCTTTAAAATTGTAATATTATTTGTGATTTAAATTTTACTTGAAATCAATTACATTTTGAACATTCTCCAGGGTCAAAAATAGGATGAGTAATAATGATATGCTTACCAAATCACCGTTTATACATTAAATATACACATACATGAGATATTATGCACAAAATGATAAATGAAACGCTTAAAATAATATGGAGATATTTCCACCCCCCTAGAATATTTCCCCACTTAAAGCCCTGCCACTGCCCCTTACGTAATATATTATGTATACTTGATCCGACAWATTCAAGTCTAATAAGTCATTTATAATAATCAGTATAGGTAAAGGTAATTGGATATTTTTTTTGTTCACTAATAAATGGTAAAATTTCAATATTCRTTCAGTTGTCGATTTTGATTTAGGAAAATGATTATGACGGCGTTATAACTGCTAGTTTAATGATACCCGTGCCTATTAAACAACTACCTAATTCGTCATACCCATTGAATGTAGAAGACACCGATATACCGTTTATTGAAGACGAGAGCAGACAAAGTAATAGTAAGTCATTCATATTGCTGTTATAATATATGAATTGTTGTATTCAATTGATTAAATCGTGAAAAAAATTTTCTACCGAAATTGAGTAACTAATAATTGTTTGAAAACTAATTTCGGGCCGCACAGATATATATTTTAAATAAGTGTGTTTATGCATTTTTTTTTATCAATTTAAATATCTGACGTAAAATATTAAAAATAGAAATTTATTGATTTAAATCAGATGCCAGCAACTAAAAAGCTATTGTTTTATATTTTTTGGAAGATTATTGTTTAGATTTTTATAATTATTGTACATCTGTTAAAATCAAAACGAATAATATACAGCGTAATAATAGTCAATATTATCAATACGTAAYAACAGTTCAAAATCTCTGTCGATTAWTGTATTATATATTTTAATTCATATAGGTTGYACATACGTTAACTTATATTTTTGATAAATTATTAAGAATATTGAATATTGAGATAGTTAAATTTTAGGTTCTATAACAAATTATCATCGTATGTTAGCTACAGTATCTTCAGACAGTAGTTCCGTATCCAGCCCACCGACTTCACCTGATAATGTCTATGGAGCAACAAATTATACTCCAGATTATTATAACAGAAAGACTACAAAATCAGACCAAAGGAGTATGCAATCCACTAAAGACTTAACGAAGGACGTAGACTCYGATCACTATAAAGCAGAAAAAAAAGGAAAAGAAAAGGATATAAAATTTTATCAGAAAATATTATCCAGCACAGGTCTGGATAGGCTATCGAAAAGTGCTAGTTCTACTGGTGTCACTAAGAATTCTGTGTACAAAGAAAAGTTAAAACACGGACCGGACGACACGACATTATCTCCGGTAAGTATCGAAACTATATTGTGACATATTTTATAAATTTTAATWTCCCGCGAGTACAAATTCAATGCCTAGCCATTGTTGCTCAATTTGTTTTTTACTCGAAAAACCATGCACATTCCAGAACCGTAGAAAATAATGTATGTTTCAACAGTTTTGGAAGAGCGCAGTAATATAAAGCAGTATTGCCGTAATTGGGAAATTTATATGTCGGAGGGACCTATATTTATATTTATTTTCAATTTAACTATAGATTAAACTCACTAAATCAGTAGTAGTTATAACTACGTAATATCTGAGCTAAATGTTTTATTATAGATTTATAATAATAAGGAAATATAAGTATATAAATCTCAATGATGAAACACGACGGGATATCAACTCCTATGAAAACATTCCACCTACTATTTTATGTTTAATATGAAGAATGATTCACCACGCATGCGCACATTTTTTGTGTATTAGTGAATTTATTTTAATTCAAATTTTTTAAATTTTTAAGTGGGTATAATACACTATAAAGATTT